TAACCCCTTTTTTTCAAAATCAACCCTTATTTTTCGATTTTCACCCCTTCGGGTATTTTTTTGTTTTTTTTTTATTTTCATTGGAAAGCTGAGGTTTTTTCCCATGAGCTATGTAAATATGAAAATAGGACAACAATAATTTTGTGAGTAACAGAATATTAAAGTAGGCGGTGCCGATAAGGGTGCCGTTAAGGGTAACATTGTAATTTTCAAATCTGTATAACTTTGACAAAAGTTAATGGATTTTAATTTATCTATAGTGAATTTTATTGCATTTTTCACGTACTTTTCAAAAATGTATACAAAATTTAAAAAAAAAATTTTTTGACCCCCTTTTTTTCAAAATCAACCCTTATTTTTCGATTTTCACCCCTTCGGGAATTTTTTTTTGTTTTTTTTTTATTTTCATTGGAAAGCTGAGGTTTTTTCCCATGAGCTATGTAAATATGAAAATGGGACAACAATAATTTTGTGAGAAACATAATATTAAATTAGGCGGTGCCTATCTAAATCCTCAAAGATGATCTCCAGGTACACCCCTTATCGGCACCGCCTACTTTAATATTCTGTTACTCACAAAATTATTGTTGTCCCATTTTCATATTTACATAGCTCATGGGAAAAAACCTCAGCTTTCCAATGAAAATAAAAAAAAAAAAAAAAAAAATACCCGAAGGGGTGAAAATCGAAAAATAAGGGTTGATTTTGAAAAAAAAGGGGTTAAAATTTTTTTTTTTTAATTTCGTATACATTTTTGAAAAGTACGTGAAAAATACAATAAAATTCATTATAGATAAATTAAAATCCATTAACTTTTGTCATAGTTATACGGATTTGAAAATGACAATGTTACCCTTAACGTCAAAACTTCAACCCCCTCTACTTTCTACAAATATTTTTTTAATGAGTTTATATTTTAGGGATTTATTACTATCATATAGGAGAACAATTTACCAAAGTATGAAGCCAATCCCAGAACATTGACTTTTTGGGCTGGGGCGATTGAAAAAGAATCTCTCATATAACCGTCGATGATTAATTTATTACCAACAATTTTACCTGATGACTCCATAGTTGAGGCATTTTACGTGTAATGTCCCAAGTTGAAAAATTGATTTCTCGAAAAAAATGAAACTTTGGGAAATTGTTGTCCTACCTTATAGTAAAATATTCCCAAAATTTTTTTTAACTTTTTAGAAATTTTGGAGGAGAAAGGGGGGGGGGAATTTTATTAGTTTTGCCTGACACCGCCTACTATTTGAAATTTTGCTGTCTATAAATGCAATAAAAAAAATTTTTGAAGGTATGTTTTTTGAAGGTTTTTTCATGCTCGTTCCAATCGTAAATTTTTTTTAAATTCTTCAATTTTGACCTTGACTTTCAATAATTAAACATAAATTTGCTATTTTTACTAAAATCGGTCCGTTTTTATACACTGAAAGTGTATAAGAAAAGAAACTCGAAATTCTGTTTATTTTTATGTGGGATCGTTCATCCATTTAGAACGTTCCGCCAAGTCACTATATAGCGAAACAAAAATTGAAACTATCTGTTACGAAAAGGTAGGAGTAGACAGTAAGAGAAGACTAAGAATTCTGTTACAAGTTATTGTTTATTGAAATAAAATTTAAAAGAATTACAAAAGGAAATTAAGCATGGGAACGATACATTATTTTTACTTACGCTACGATGTTTAAAACTACCGCTGTCCGTCGTCCACACACTGGTTTTACGACTCCGTTCAACGGGCAAGACAAAAGGTTGGTAGCGCTCTCGCGCTTGTGGGTCCACCAAGTTGGGATGGCGCAGGTACCTCGGGTACGAACTGGCCAGTTGAATAACAAGAATTCCAATTAATTAATCGTATAATTAATTAGAATTCTCACTCAAGTTGACTTCCACTGGACTTTGCCGGCTAAAGAATTTAATTTTATTTTCGTCCGCCCTTGTTTACTTATAACTTTGTATGAAGATCTAACACGGATTCTGACTCGCGGACAGGCTTAGGCGCGGCGTTTACAGGCTGAAGGAACTCTTCTGCCAGGCTAGAGCCAGGAGAAGTGTTTGTTAATAAGCGAGGAAAGTTGTACTGCGTTAATTGAAATTTTGCGACATGCCTCTAGTCCTTACCTCGGGGTCTAGGCGGGATAATTTAGAATTTAGGGAGTAATAAAGAATAGAAATAGGTAAAATGCACGAGGCCCATTGGACATTTCATTTTTGCTGACGTGTTTGAATCTCACGCTGGTCTTCGTGAAAACGGAAACACCTAAAAATATGATACTTTTAGGGAATCATTATTTCTAACTAAAATTATAATTATATTGTTAAATTTTGTTTATAATTATAATTTATCTTTAGTTATGTTTATTTGATATGACTCGTAAGGATAATAATTTTCCTTGTCCTGAATTAATATAAGTTACAGGTACATGTATATTTATTTAAATATCCCTGTAACTTACATCCTTCCGTTATTTTATTACTAACTGCAAGTTGCAACAAAATGTTTAAATTGATTGGGATTTGAGTCATAGCATCTCATAACAAACAATTTGAAAATAGTTCATTCTATATACAGCAGTGAGCTGAAATTTCAAATTCACATGCTTTTGTTTTGAAATGCTGTAGTCCATAGCCCTGTAGTTTCAGAAAAAAGTAATGGGGATCTCAATGGAAAAAACCGAGGTAGTGAGTAAAGGTATGCGATGTGTTCGTGTAGCACTGTTACGTACAAGCGCTTATATGTATGCCCGTAGCGCGAGGCACCCATGGTGGTACGTGTACTTATAGGTACGGAAGTCATACGTGGGTGTGTAACCGTAGCTGCACAACACATGCTGTACCCATAGCGCGAGATATTTTATTTAATTTCATTCTTTTTTCTTTCTTTTTTCTTTTAATTTTTATTAATTATTATTATTTGTGAAAATTGTCACTAAAACAATTTAATTTTTTCTTTTATTAACAATATTTATCTTTTAAATTCGGAAAAATAACATCGGTTCAAAATTTGTTATATTCGAAACTCTGCCACAATGGTTGCTCATGCTTTTCGTACATTGTTTTTTTTAAGTTTAGATTTTGAACATTGCCGCAATGTTTCTCGTTGCGTCTGTAACATTTTCAATGCTACAAATCGCTACAGTCGTTAATATTTTATTAGGAAGATTGCCGCAAGGTCCCATCGACAGAAGACGCACAGTGAGGCAAAATAAAAACGTGATTGCTTTTGCTCTCTCACTTCAATTATTTTTAAAATATACATGTTACCAAATGAAAAATTTAAAAGAAAAACAAACTAATTAAAAAATTATTCACTAAACATAGAATTTGGATCCTAAATTTGTGTACACAAATTAACGCAATCAATGTAGTAACATATATAAATTAAATTGAAGTTAATTTCTGTCTTACCTTCTGAACCTTTATTCCTTTGATTTAAAAATAACTGTTTAGGACAATGTACGTAACAGGGATATTTTACTATCAGGTAGGACAACAATTTCCCAAAGTTTCCCTTTTTTCGAGAAATCAATTTTTCAACTTAGGACATTACACGTAAAATGCCCCAGTTTAAAAATGTTTTATAGTGTATAAAATCTAAAAATTTACAAGTAAAATTAGATAAATTTTCTTTATATTCAAAATTAATTCTTAATATTGAAATGTAAAGGATAGCATATATTTTTACAATGATACTTTTTTTAAAATAAAATTACTGTTAAATTAGTCTTCTTTTTATCACATTTTGTCACAGCGTAGAACCCGTGTAGAAATTGCCATATTTGGCCCAAAAATGGATTGAAACGCCTCACCCAATATGGGCCAGACCTGGGAAGCGTCAAAATGTGACTTTATCTTGTGGCCCAAATCAGGTAAGGCATTTCATGTCAATTTTATGGATGCCAGATTTGGCCAAGTTTAGACCATGACAAAATTTCTTCTCGGGAAGTAAAACGGAAAAATTTTAATGCGATGTTAAACATTTAATATTTTTAAAACCAAAAAAAAGATTAATTGTCATCAAAATATATGTCTGGATCAATGCTTCTGAATGTGACTGAAGTTCTGAACGTTCAAATGAACGAAAAATTTGTTTACCACTGTTTTAACTTCAAATTTTTTTATAAAATATTGGTTTCTGTATCGAAAAATAAGTGAATAACTTATTGAATTTTAAATGTAACTTTTTATTTTCGTTGATGTAGTAAATTTAAAAAAAAATTATTTCTTTCATTTAAACGTTTATAACTTCAGGCATATGCTTCTGAGAAAAACTTGAACAACTTGAATTTGTCAACCGTCAAACTAAGTCGAAAGTCGAACGAACAAAGTCGATCTTGTCGACTTTAATCTCGAGAAAGTCGATTGCAATAAGTCGACTTTTAACGTGTGAAAGTCGACTTTCGAGCTAAATCGAAGTCGACTTTTCCACTATTTGAGAACTTCTCAAATAGTTATACTAATCAAGAATAAAAAAAACAATTCGATTTTTTGAAAAAAATCACCTTAATCACACCTTAATTGTAAAAAAGGGAATTCATTAAATGAAATAAAAACTTACCAAATAAGACTATTAATTCCCCCAGTTTCATAGAAATCGAAAGACTACTTGCAAATTGCTCATTTCCTGACGGAGTTTTACCCTAAAATTTCATTATAAATAATAATAATTATTTGACAGGATTTCCATATAACCATTTAAAAGATTGAAAATGGATTTTTAGTTTCAAAATTTTCTTTAAAGTTTAATCCTTTAAGTCCAGATCAAAATTCAAAGAAATAAAAAAGTAACCTTAAACGCGTTTTTTCTCGAATCGAACAATTTGCTACTGACAGACAGCATAACTCGGATTCTTATTAAAGCCTGTTATTTGTTTTTTCTTTTATACCTACAACCAAAAATTTTTTCAAAATAATCCCTTTTTGAAATTTTTGTTTAAATCGACACTATTTTCTTCTAGATGTATTAATTGTTTTTTACTGTATTGTTGAAGGATCTCCAAATAACGGAAGGTATTGTGAACGGTTCTGGAAACCCAAAAAAGAAATTGTCCAGTAAATATGGTGACAGTGCTTGCATGTTGCTGGGAAAAATCGATAAATCATTGATTCTCGATGCTGAGAATGTGAATAAAAACGACGTTCTTCTCTCGGACTTGACCCGTTGCACAGTACGAATATATGGTGCACCGAGCACTCTGCACATGGTTAATTTAAGACAATGTACAATCCTCGTGGGCCCCGTTTCGTCCTCGGTTTTCGCTCACGATTGCAAGGATTGTAATTTCGCCTTCGCTTGTCAACAACTTAGACTCCATTCTTCAGCGGACTGCTCAATATACTTACATGTCACGAGCAGAGCTATTATAGAAGACTGTTCTCAAATTCGTGTAGCGCCCTACAATTGGTCTTATGAAGATCAGATAAGTCATTTCAATCTGGCGGGTCTCGATCCCAAGATAAACAACTGGAACTGTGTTGATGACTTTAATTGGCTCTCAAGTGAGAAAAACTCACCAAACTGGTCTGTTCTTGAACCGGAATCTTGGGTGAAAAGTTGGAACTGACGAAGAAATTAAAGTGGCTGTAAAGATGGTTGAATTATCGAACCGATTTAATTTTTTTTTACAAAGCTAGAGCTGTGAATGTGAAAAATTGTAAGGCATCATTTTTCTACTCATGTTTGTATTCGAGAGACTTTTTTTGTCATGGTAGTAAATTATATGTAGGTTTTTATCTAATGATACAATTCATTACTCATTCGCATTCGTTAGCAAATTTCACAAATGTCAAATTCGCGAAAATTCCATGTTTAACAAATGAAAATTTTATATTTCTGTTGCGGAGTTGAGACGGTTCTATTTTTAAATAAAAATTGTTCACTTTCAATAAAAATGATAATCTCATTTTAAACATTTTATTAATGACGATTTTCCTAATTAATCATAGTGTCGTGAGTGAAATAGATGAAATAAAATTAAAACTTTAACAAAATACATTCATAAACACATTCCGTCTTTATTTTTTTTACTCCGCGAATTCATTCCTTGTGTATGGATGTTTACAAAAGTTAAAGAAAATTTTTCACATTTGCCCCTCTACAATTTTTCAAGAACTTAAGATGCATATAATAACAGAACTGGTCTCAAAATAAATTGTTTGTACATATACATATAAATACTATTTTTTTCGTTCAAAAAACGAACGAATGTTTGTTGTACTTTCATACAGATTTTCTGAGCAATTCACGGCTAATACGGTAGCGTTAAATATAAATGAATTTCATTACATTTTATAGATTTTCGAATCTCGTCGAAAAAAATATGTAAAAATATGCTTTGTTTTAAATTCGAGCTTTTCATATATAATTTTTAAAAAATTATACAACAATTACTCGTTATTTATTTACGTTGATTTTTTTAAATAATTAGATACAAATTACTCTGTGAATAAGCGCTCGGCACTATTTTATGCTGATAATAAAAAAATGTAATATATTGATAACATTTAAAAAAATTTTAATAATCCCTTTAAAAATAACCTCTTTAAATAATTCTTTAATAAAGTAAAAATTGGTTCCATTCCACTATCTTTAACTCTAGAATGGAAAACTGGGGTGGTTAGGCACCTTACGCGAAGTGCAAAAAATGTCAATTTTCAGAAATTTCTGTTTTTGCTTCCTCGTAGGAAGCTTTATAGTGATGACAATATTCGAACTTCCTAAAATCAATTATTTTAATAGATTTTTAACTAATATAGTTATATTTCGACATGAGGAACAAATGTCCGGATGTATGTGTATGTATGTCACGGCTTCTTGTGTACAAATTATCTCGAACAAATGTTGACGGATCGACCTGAAATTTTGCATGCTAATTGTACTTACTAATACCAAAAATCGGACACAAGGATTTTCAAAAATATCCACACAATTTTTTTTGGGACCATTTTTTCTAAAAATTAAAAATACATTTTTTGATAAAAAAGCTTTTTATTATAAAAATTTCACTTTATTTGTTTTAAAAAAGTATTCTTTGCGTTAAAACAAATTTTTTAACCTATATTAAGTTCATATTTTACCTAAATTTATAGCTGAAATAATTATTTTTATTTTTTCAAAAAATTTAAATTTTTTTTAATTAAAATTCTTTTTCTTTTTTCTTAATAAAAATTTTCAAAAATTTTATGCCAAATTTTACGCAAAATTGCATTTCTTACATAGAAACTAATTGATTAATCTATATATTTTACCTTTTATAAAATTAATCGTTATTTTTAACGTCAACAAAACGAAAATAAATTCGAAAGAACTTAAGAAAAATAAAAATTTAAGAATTAACAAAATCTTCTTCAGGAAATGCAAAATCGAAATAAATTAAATTAAAAGTATTAAAAAAAATTTTTTTTTAATGTAAATTAAATTAAATATTTTCTGCGAGGAAGCATAATGTTCGTGAAATGAACATCACATTTATGTAATATGTCCACCCCTTCTTGTTTAAGGTCTAAGCACAAAAGAAACGTAACCGGAATCGTAATCGCAAACGGAAGAATTAATAAGAGAAGAACAACAATATATGAGAGTAACTCCAGGTCAACCGTGTCAACAAATTTTCATTGATTTTCTAAAATGTAAAAACTTTTATGAAAATCTGTAGTTTATAATAAAACAAAAAAACACTTTTAACCGTTTTTTGAAATTTAAAATTTTTGTTAGTTTTTTTGCATAAACAAAATTTTACAAAATTTTAAAGAAAAATTAATAACTGAACAACCGTTTGCAACAAATTAATGAAACTTATACTGATTATATAAAAAATTGGCCTCTTTTCAATGAATATAATTGCAAAATTTTAAACCTAAAAATTCAATATTTTTAATAACAATTTACATTATTATTTATTGTTCGAGGTGATTCTTGCAAGAGATACAGATCGAAACTGATGTATATTGATATACTAGTTCAGTCACATAGGTGACGCTTTAATAATATTCTTAACAGAATTAAATTCGAAATTACATATCTCCGATTATAACGCCTCTATTGGAAAAGCGGTGTACTTAGGAGTTTCCGCAATATGGCCGCGCCTAGGGACAGCTGCTTCCGTGTAGTAAACAGTGTAAAGTGATATATGGATCATTCTCCGCGTAGCGCACGATTTGGTGTCTGAAACTTTAAAAATATTTTTTTATCGAAATGATAAATATCAATACATATTTTTGAAGATAAAGTGTCAAGAAATAAATATCCATGGTGGGTCGGAAAAATTTTATATAATTTTTTTAAACAAATTAAAAAAAATTTCTTTGCTTTTTGAATTCTATAAAATAGTTGAAATTTGATTTAAAATGTTTATGGGAATTTTTGGGGTAATTCACAAAAATATATATAGCGCGAACGACAATTAAAAATTTTATTTCGGTAATTTATGGAAATGTATACGGTCATTTATAGAAATTTTGGCTATAATTCATAAAAATATGTAAAGCATAAATCGCAATCAAAAATTTTAATTTCGGTAATTTATGAAAATTTTCGCGGTAATTTACAAAAATATATATAGCGCGAACGACAATTAAAAATTTTATTTTGGTAATTTATGGAAATTTATACGTTAATTTATGGAAATTTATTTGGTAAGTTATAGTAAACTTACCGGAGCTATGATAGTTTATAATAAATATTTTTAATTTTGTTTGTTTCATTGCAGTATTAAACTTGTACTAGTGACGGTGGAAATTCTGTGGCGGGTGGAGACGCTGGGGTCGGTGGAACTGGCGTTAATAATTTTTTTTTTTTTGAGAAAATTATCATTTATTTTTAATCGGTTTCATACTGCCGTCCTGATGACGAAAGTCGGTATTCGGATTCAGAGTGATTTTGAGATATTTAAAGAAACGTGTTTTTAACGAGCAGCACTAATATTTGAAACATAATAAAATAATTACAATCGATATTAACTAATTTGGGTATGCTCTATTCAATGGTGGTAAAATTTTTTAGAAATTTTTATTTTTTATAATAAAAAAGTCGATTACTGACAAAAATTGATTTGGAAATCCTGGAAATACTGCTCAAGAGTCGGTATGTGCTATTACTGCCGGCGTGACGTCACTGTTTTAGAGTCGGTACTTGCAGCCTGTTACGTATATTTTACCTTGTGAGTATATGCAAAAACTATTAGGCTTTTCAATTTTCTATTATTTTTGTTCATTATTATTTAATAATACAGAATTGTAAAAAATAATAATTGTTACAAATAAATTAATTAAAATTAATATTTTTAATAATAATTATTTAATTAAATAAATTATATTACTTAAATTATTATGTAAAAATGTGAGTACCGACTTTTTGCAAGGAAAGTTGGTCTTTCTCCGACTGAAATCCTTGAGGCAAGAGTCGGTATTCGCGATACTGCCCATCGGCATTAGGATGTCGAATCAAATCAGACCACGTTTCCTGGCAGTATTTGCCAATGCGGACTGTGCTTCAAGGAAAGTACGTACATACGTCATCATTTTGAAGCTGTGAGAGCAAATACCGACTATTTTGTCTGTAAGTACCGACTCTGTGAGAATGATTTCGCGAAAGTAGGGTAATTAATGGTTAATTATCTCCAAAATTAATTAATATTGTTAACTAAGATTACTACAGATAGATTCCTTTTTTCATAACGAATCCAATGACATAAAAAACTCATTTTTGATAAAAATGTCGATTACCGACTTTCGTCATCAGGACGGCAGCGTATGTTTCACATATATATATAGACCAAAATAATATAACTATACTTTATTTAACCTTTATTATTTAATTATATTCTATTTTTTAAAAAAATATTGAAGGGTCGGTGGATGCCCGTGGAGACGATTTTGTGATGCCCTGTTCAAATTTGAATCTTGAAATGTGTAAAAAAAAGGATAAATCTATTAGAAAATTGATTATTTTCTTCATGGAAGTAGTGTAACTATATCACTCAAAAGAATTAGTTCCTCAGGCTGCCGCTAGATGGAGCCACTGTCACTTACCGCCGGTCGGTATTTACCCACAGTCGGTAATGTATATGGGACGTTCTTTGTCAACCGGACCACCCCATCTCTCCATAATTGGTTTAATTTAAAAAAAATTTAGCATATTGGAAAAATTAGCTTGGAATGTCTACTTTTTAATATCGTTGGGCGCTTTTTGAAATTCAAAATGGCGACTTAAATATGGCGCCTAAATGACATAAAAAACACAAAAAATCCACTAATATAATCTATATTATTGTTTAAAGCTTCACATATGACGATAAAAATAACGACAACATAGTTTACTTACAAACTGATAACGTATCTCCTTTCAAAATTCAAAATGGCGGATTAAATATGGTGGATAAAATTAAAAATTGAGCTAGGCTCGTAAAAATTACAACTCGGGGGTTTTCGAGGTTGCTGGTTACAAATTTGATGTCAGTTTTTAAAAATTATAAATGGCGAATTCAAAATGGAGGACAAAAAAATTTAAAAAATTGAGCTAATTTCGTAAAAATGTCTACATAGGGGTTTTTTTGGTCGCTGATTACAAATCCGATGTCAGTTTTAAAAAATTTTTAAATGGTTGATGAACTTTGCCAAAAACTAATTAAACACATCAAAGTCTATCAAAACGAATACTAGTTTTTGATACAATTTGATAGAAATTTTTTTAATACTTTTCAATCCGTTTTTTGAATCCGCAATTTTATGTAGATTGTATAAGATCCTATCAATATTTTTGGATAGAAAGTCTATCAAAATGAATAATTATTTTTTATAGAATTTGATTGATGAAATTTTAATACTTTTCAATCCGCGATTTTAAATCAATAAATTTATGTATATTGAATAAGATTCTATCAATGATTTTTGATAGAAAGTCTAT